TGAAAACTTCCTGCATTCTAGAAGTTTGATGGCATTGAGAAGGTGAATCACAGTAACTAACTCAATGCAAGGAGTACAAACACTTCAAGTGCTTCAGAAGTGTGAGCAAAGAGCAGGCGAAGGCCAATAACCAGCTCGATGCATGGAGTACAACCTCGAGGAGGCGGGCGAAGTCAAGTAACCTTTGCCTTCTCAACCCTTAAGAGAATGGGCGAAACCAAGTATCCTAATTCTCTTATTTATCCAGCAGAGGAGCTCTGCACTGGTTCAAAGACCCTTCGAAGATATTAGAAGACAATAGTTGTCAAATCCTTACCATTGGTGATCAGTGCTACTGAGAGTAGAGTATCCGCCTCATTTCCCAACAGAATGCCAATCGAAAGCGGAAGTGATGCGAATCTACTTGGAAGTGACAACCAAATGAAAAAAGAGTCGATGAGCAAATTTTGTGAAGGAAGGACAAAAAAACTTTGAAAGTTTGCGAGGCGATGTTCGTTAAAGCTCCAACAAGCATCCACCCAATTCAAGTAGCATGAGGCATTTGAGAGACTTGCGCACAGTAAGGATGGTCTTTTCCTTCATTTAGAGGATCTGCAGGAATCAACAAGGATCAACACAACTCAGCCAACCCCACGCCAGAGTCAGAGTCATTGGTAAGTTGAAGTAGCATAGCGGATCAAAGGTTCGACTACTCAAAAAAAATAGCAGCGGAGAGCAGCTGAGAGCCAAGAGGCGCATTGCAGCTGGAGCAGAAGATTGAAGACTCAGCAAAGGCGAGGTGTTGCAGTGTTCACAAAGGCTTCGACGAGGACGTCGAAGGAATAAGTGGGGGAGAATGTCACGGACAAACTTTGAAACAAGATGTTTGATGTAATGCTTATGTATGTCCGTGTCTTTTGGTATGTTCATGCTTTGCACAGCATGTAGAGGATCGACCGAAAGCTTAATAGTCCCATTTTAGTTGGGTTTGGTGGCCGCTTTAGGCTTGTAAATAAAGGTTGTGTCATGTGGACACTTGTGAGAGATTTTCGGTCTGTAATGGACCATTTTGACCCTTTGTTGTGCAACTGTTCAGAGCTTGTACAGTCTGTTTGTAATTTGCATTGTCTATGAAGTGTTTTCGGAAATGTTTGCTTGTGGATCCCGAATGAGGCGTTTTCTCTAACCCGTTCTCTCTTTTGTGGGTCCTAAGGGACCGTGGGAGGCTTCGGGGAGGCTGACCTTTGCGAACGAACACGCAAGGGTGCCGCACGACTTAGGCAAAACCAGCTAAGTCCATGACATAAGTGCATTTAGAGTTCTGTAGGTTTGTATTACTTTAAGGTACACAAGCTAAGACATGTAGTAAGAACAGTAAACAAGTCATGAATCTAAGGAAAATTCAGTCTGCAAACAGCAAATAAAGAAAGAAAAAAAATCAATAATAATTTAAGTTTCACAAAGGAATTGACAAAATATACATTGACAAAAATGTCTTCCCGATGGTCAGATCCCTGACAGCCCTCTAGTGGGAGGTCCACTTGTGAAACAGAACTTGACACTTGGAAATCCCAAACAAGATTTACCTTCAAAGAGGCATACTAATTTCTAGAAGTAACCAAGATCCATTTAACTTATAACTACTCTAGTGTTATCATTAAAATTTAATTGCAAGTTTTATACAAGGTTTGACAAACCAGCTGGACTGGTGAATGTATCACCCGATATATATACTAGTCTGCTAGAGAACTAGGACCCAAACTGCCCTCTCTCAGGACTAACCACCCAGTGAGCCCTGTAAATTGTGGTTACTAGTGAGTTGACAAAAAGAGACTGATCTTTTTTAAGTATATATAGGGGCTGGAAAGCCCTGTTCAGCCCTCTTTCCCAATTCATTTCTCCCTCTCACCCTCATTCCTTCCCCTCACCCAACTCTCAGTCAAATTCTTCCAAATTGAAGCAAAAATATTGAAGGAGAGGCCCAATTTCTCAAGGAGAATATTGAAATCAAATATCTGATCAGATTCTTCTTCAATATTAGGTAATCCAAAGGCACATCACACATGGTACATCTTTGTTTTGTTAGCAAAATAAAAAAATATTATATTCTGTAAGCCCCTATAATCTATATCTTCTTTCACAGATATACTTGGAGACTATGGAACATTAGGCAATTCAACATATGAGAACCTGGCTGATAACCCAACTCATTAAAAGAACATCCATTACCCTAGTAAATTCTTTATTATAATTTGAAACATAGAACATAACTAATCATTTAATAGCAAAAAAAATTTTCCTATACAATCAACATTGACATAAACAAATAACAGAAAAAAGACTAGATTTGAGGAACATGGACCTACCAAAAGCATAGCCAATTATTAGCCAAACAAAATAGCCATTTAAGATTCCTTTTTTAGTTGATTTATCAAACCTACACAATAAAAGAAAAGGTCAATGACAATATGACCCTTAATTCAAGCTAAATACAAAAAATATGAAACAATCACTCACTTTTAATCTACATTACATATATAAGAATATTGATGTCTGACTATGGCAGTCATATTCTGGTTCAATTTCCATCGTCAAATAAATCATTTGCTTTTTGTGTAATTAACTGAAAGAAAATGAAAGTTATTCATCGTAAACAATTAAGATGGAGCAAACCAAGTAGTGTTCATCAAGTCATTGAAACAATTGACAGGGAAAATGCCTCGAAAACTTGTGCCTACTTTATACAGTAATAAAAAAGATGGCCCAATGCATGAGGTTCTTATTAACATGGATTTGGAGAGGGTCAATGTAGGAATACTATATCCACTCAAGATGAATTCACGCTAGTTGCATTCGGGTTCATATCACTTACCCCTTCAAGTAGAGATATTGTGTTCATGTCTTCATGACATAAATCTAGCCACCCAGGTAGGAAAAGAGCAATCTTACTGTGGTGCCACGGCTTACTCTTAAATTGAATAATTACTGTATTAAACAAAATAATATGTAATTCCTATCATCTTAAACAACTAACCATTGTTTACCTATTGAATCAAAGAAAAATTTGCATTTATCCACTATAATTTTAATAAAGAAGAATGCAAAACATACTTTGGATTATGGGTGCATATAGATCTAAGGGTTCTTAAGCAAAACGAGTAAGTACAGATTTGTGCCTTGTTATCAAATTGCATGTAACATTTTAATCAAGGATTGCCGTTTCGGGTACTGGACCCATTTCAGTGATATGTTCGGACAGGTATATACCAATCAATACCGGTGTACATGTGTTGGTACACAGATACAAACTGATGTTTTAGAGAGGAAGAAAAAGGAGAAGAGGAAGGCAAGGTGGAGGAAGAGAAGGAAGAAGGCAGGCAGTGGAGTGAGAGGAGGAAGAAGAATGAAGAAGAGGAAGCAGTGGAGGTGGAGGAAGAAGGAAGAAGAAAGAAGAGGAAGTAATGGAAGAAAAAGAAAAAAAGAAGGAAGAAGAGGCGAAGAAGGAGAAGACGTGGGAGTGTACCGAGGAGATACATTGTGGTGAACGACAGCAGCGGCAGCATTGAACAGCAGCGACAATGCTGAACAGCAGTGGTGACGGCAGCAGTATCGCAAGAAGAGAATTTTCATTTTAGGTTTTTCTATAAATACTAAGTTGGATCAGGCCCATTTTAGGTTCTTTTCGTTTTTTCCTCTCGGTTGGATCAGACCACCGGAAACGAGGGTGATCTGCGTACAGTCCACGTCTGGACCACCCGTTTCATGTCGTTTTGGTCGGTACAACAGTCATTGATTTTAATCACTGCTGACAGTACTGGGGAATAAAAATTTATCAGGCACAATATCTTATGGTTTGTTTATCTTTTATGTTTATTGATACATTCATTATGCTATCTCTCTGTGGTTCGATTATAAATAAGATAAAACAGGATAAATTTAATCATTGTTACCTTTTTTATATTTGGATTATTTCTTCCTCTTATACTAGTTCTCAAGCACTGGTGAGCCTTAGATGGGGACAGACAACTTTCCATACTTCTGATAAAAAGATGGAAGCTAGAGTTTCCATAGGACAAAAATACTAGTTTCAATCTATTGATGGAAGCTATCTTGGTCTGGTACAGATTAAGTTTCAGTTAACACTGATACATGTAAAAATTATATAATTACATGCACATCCTTTCTCAACCCAATTCAATGCCCTTCATTTATAGTGTCACAATGACAAGGTTTCATATCTTGGTCTGGTACAATACCAATCCTTGGGTGCATCTTAGGGTTGGACATACCGTGTGCTTGCATGCCACTGTGCTGATGAACACATATCTGATCAGCAGTGGAGAAAATTAAAGATGGAGAGAGAATATATGAGAAGAGGTGGGGGTGGAGAAAAAGAGGAAGATGAGGAGAAGACAAGGCAACAGAAGAAACAGAGGAGAGAGAAGAAAATAAAGAAAAAGTTGCCAGTAGCTGTCAATATATATATATATATATATATGTATATATATATATGTATATATATGTATATATATATATATGTATATATATATATATACATGTATATATATATACATGTATATATATATATACATGTATATATATATATATATACATGTATATATATATATATACATATATATATACATGTATATATATGTATATATATACATACATATATACATGTATATATATATGTATATATATATAAACACATATAAAATAGAGAAAACCCCGATGCTGGTATACTAGGTAGTAGAGATGCTACCTGTTACAACTTAGTACCAGTCAACTTGCCACTCGTAACCCTGTTACAGTGAGCTTATTGAGCAATAGCTCTGTTTCACACTGGAATGGATGAATTGCCCAGACTGCACTACCAATTGCCCTTCACTTTCTAGCTTCTGTACATGTCATTTCAGTTCAAATTAGAGAATCTTTATGGAAAAACATCACTCCATCTCTCATGGTATTGATTTCACAAATCCTAAGAATTCCAAAATCCAAAGTTCCTTTCTTGACAATGTAGGGGAGAATGTTTACACCAAACCAGAAGTAAATTTGATTTAACAAAACAGATTTTACAAAGAAACCTTTTATTGTTCTATTTTGCTTCTCTTGAGAGGAACACATGCCAAATATATAGAAAATGGTCCTCATTGTAAATCTCAAAGTAGAAGAACGAATTGGTTTGTTGTCAGAGAACAGCAAAGCAGATCACATAGGATATTATGGAGAATTATCTCTAGCTGCAGTTATTTAAACTGCTGAACTTGATATTCAATCATTTCCTAGCAGGAAATTAGACCATGATGATTTCTATCACTTTGACATCTGTGCCTAATTATGCATTTTGATACTAACAATATGCACCATATAACTACTAACTATAACACTAAAATCATGCAGTGCAACAACTAATTTGGTACCTGTGACTGAAAGCAATAAGCAAGCCAGGCAAAATAATGTCTCCAAAACCAATCATTTGATAGCCTCCCCAAGGATCAAAAAATCTAGGCATTCTCAGAAGCATAGGAATGGACTCTCCACCTGCCTTGTTGCCAGTAGCAACCTGTAAATAAAGATGTCTTTATTATGTTTGGCTAGTGTTACATATATTGCATTGGACACTTACAAAAAGTTGAATCTCTAGAGCCAATAGATATTAGTTTAATCATAGCAGAAAAGACACCATTTGTGGCAATACAGATTACATAGGAAAGAGAGCCTTTTTCACATGTGATAAAATGTTAATATGATCAGTAGCATCATGTTAATTTTATCAGTGTTTTACCAACAAATCAGTTTTAACTCATTTGCTGCGGGGATTTTTGCAACAAAAATGTGGCTGCCACCCCATATTGAACTTTTGATTATGACTGGACCAATTATCAGTCCATTAGAAAGAATCAGCTCTTTGGTCTCCCAATCACTGGGCTAGGGTTGCTCAGTCACCAAATGTGATACAAGGAGGAAAGGCATGGTACTTCCATATGACCAAAGTAAAGGGTAGGAAAATAATGTTGGACCAGACCAAATTTTGGGCTTCCTCATCGAGCTAAACGACAAAGGCAATTTGCAAGAAGAAAGATGAGACATTCCATGAAACTAGAGGAAGAAGGAAGGTAATACACAGGATAAAGTATACACATGAATAAATACAATATTTTTTAAGAAATTTCATTTTACACCATATTTTTCTCGAAATTAAGAATTACAAACTTGATTATTAATAAAGCTCCTGTGCCTTTTGATTTCTGTTAATTATGTTGTGTGCTTGTCGTTAATGTGCATAATAGACTTACATAACTACAAGTTCAATTGACCTGAGCTATAATGGACAAAAATATTTTTGACTTAATTGATCATCGTCTCTCTTTAACCTGAGCTATAACCTAATGCAGACTCTCTTTAGCAAACAAGGACTTGCATCTGCAATCAACCATCAATTGGTCATCGTCATCACAGCAGGATCTTAACAGCACATGGTAACAAACTACTTATGGAAAAATTATCATGGCAGGGTTTGAATCACAGGAACAATCTCTTCATATTTCAAGGTAAGGTTGAGTACATTGACCCCAGACTCCTTATTGATGGAAGCCTCGTGCACTAGATACATCTTTTCTTTATTAGGGTATTAGTTACACACAAGAATCATGGATCATGGATCACAAACAAAGGGCAATCTTTCAACAACATTTTTTCCTAAGTTGAGAAACTTCATAGTGAAAGAATCAAGGAAGTATTAGGGAGAAAATGGGTTAGCTTTGTCTGAATTCGTCTATATATTATGTTGAGCAAGATGCAATTACAGATGTGTATCCATCATATAACTCAGATTTGCATACGATTCCAGCTAATCCAGAATCCTCCAAAAGTAAATACAGACTTGGTTCTACTGATATCTGAATATTGAGCTATATTTAAGGTGTTAAATTTAGCTATATTAAAACTAGAAAGCCTTTATTTGATTAATTAATGTGTACTATTAGGTTTTTGTTTTACACATTTGCTTTAAATCTTTTCTATATAGTAAACATAGATTTAAATTAGTTTATTAATTATTTGTCTCATACGACCCTGGATGCATATAATAGTCACATCCAATATCGACCTATCTCAACCAAAATTTGGATCAGTCATGTATCTAGTTGGTACAAAATTTTGATTTAAACATACATGTTTAAAAAAATTAGTATCCATTTGATGTCTACAACTAAATTCATTCCTACTGATTAAAAGTTGATAAAATTTGGATGCATATAATAGTCTTTTTTGAGGCATTCAATTGATGATTCTTGATTCTGGGGTTTTATTTTGTTGGTCACTGCTTCCTTTGTGGGTCAATTTCCATATTGCTTACACATTATCTTTTTGGACTAACTTTTATTTCCAACTGTTATTGTTCTTTGTTTCTAACTGGACTAGAATGATTGTTATTATGTGTCCTAATTGACCGATTTAATCATTATTTGCCTTGTCTTTTGAAAGGATTTAATTGTTATCGGTAAGGTTCGCCGTACCATGGCATACCGCTCGGTACGGGCGGTATGTACTGGTCGGATAGGAGACTGGTATGGGTGGTACATCGGTACACCCCCATGTACCATATGTTAGTACGCTCGGTATTGTTCAGTATAGTTCGGTGCATGCTGTACCGATAACTAATTAAAACACCGGTATAGACCAGTAAGGCGAACCATGATAATTGGTTTGCCAATTGATTGGATTTAATTGGTATTTGTTCCCTGGCCAATTTCTGAAAACAGGCAGCTACCATCCCCAACAGAAGAATAATCAACTTTGAAGCCAATCTGAAAGTAAGAAACCTTGTATAATCCCTCTCCTGTCTCTTCAGTTCTTTCCTGTCTCTGACCTCTTCATATTTCCTTGTCTTCTAACCATTTACTGCCTTTGCTGATATATATTACTCATTCGTGACACAACTTTGGCTTTTCAAGCAAGGATTAAATCTCAGCCTATTACAGATACATGTCAATGGCCAGATCTGTGTGGTACTAGTACCATACAGTGTATTGAGTGTTGGTACAGTTTGCTACTAGTCGATAGTAATCAGACCACTACAAGCAGAAAGAGAAAGAGAGAGATACAGAGGAGGAATACAATGAGGCAGAGGGGAGGCCACAATGCAGAGACACAAACCAGTAAGGAGGTGAAGGAGCAACAATAGTGGCAAGGAGGAGGCAGGAACGTGGTGCTGCGGCAAGCAGGAGATGCTACGACAGCCAAGACATACTCCCAGGCAGTAAGTTACAGCTGGTATCTGTCACCTTACCGTTTGGTAAGTCCTGTGTTTAACTTACTGGGAATTAAGCTTAATTTAGGATCAAATCAGACAAAATTATCTGGTTCGTGTAGTGGTCAGTTGTCAGACACGTAAAAGTTGGACTGTTTTAACTGAGGCAATCGGTTTACAGAACCTTGGTCCTAGGTTCATTCTAAGTGAGATACATCTATCCACACCTTTTGGCCGCAAGACATCCTTGGGTTACTTAAAATAGCCATTATGCAAGAAAACTAATAACATAGCTTGAGAGTTTGGAGAGAGTGTTTTCCAAAGATGGTTACAAGATAAAGCAACTCCATAGCTTGCATTCAAGTGCATTTAGAAGTACTTGGCTTGGTACCCTCTTTATGACAACACACAAAATAAAAGTACTTTCACTGTTTCACATATAAAAAAAGGTGTTGACAAAATGAAGATCAAGAAAACAAGATAAGAACTTACTGCAATCATTACGCTTTCATGAAATATGAGGGGTGAGATGAAAACCCAGAATATGTCATAGAAAAATGCACAGCAAAGAAGAAGTGAAGCCACCTGAAAATAAGTGCAAATATCAGATGCAGAAATTTTGTTAGCTCAGCACAATAAAATTTTGCCTTCATATTACCTTTATATTTGGTAATTGGAGCACTCGCAACACTGTTATCATTAAAGATATACCCTGAATTAATTACAGAGAAAGTTTTTAATCAAAGAAAGATTATTCTGAAAAATGTGTGCGCCCCATCTTGAAGCAGATGGTAGGAAAATTTTGCATATTCATCAAATGCACAAGAATGAATGTCCTTCCTACACTTAATTGCACATTTATTATACATTTACTCAGAGAATGACAGGAGAATGAGATTCCTTTCTGTAATTAACTGCAGATTAAATAATAGCATACGAACAGTTAAATGTAGTAAGCTCAAGTGCAAAAGTTTGGGAGATCATCTAAGCCAAAGTGTCAAATATTGGTTGGTACAGGGCATAATGACTGGTATTTACTGATCTAAGGAAGGACCATATGGTCTAGTATACTATCGGTCAGTATTATTATTATCTTTTAATCTCTCAGTTGCTACTATAGGTCAGTATATCGTCTGATACACCAGTATCATAACATTATGGTAGAATATCAAAAGATTTGAAATCATTATAGGATCATGATTTTAAAACCTTGACCTATGATTAGATCCATGTGCATTAGCTATGCAGCCATAGTTATATATCATCTTGTGGTTAGATCAAGGTTGCCTTAGCTATGGGGCAATATAACTATCATTGTCATCACTATACAGGTGTTGTCAGTCATATAATGTGTCAAATTACTAGAAGAACGACCACCTATCGCCATGAAACTGTTGGTCACGAGAACAATACTGATAAAAAGACTGAATACGAAGAACTTGTATCTAACTTAATATTATATAATCTCTGTTGGGTGGATCAATGTGCACTGTTATCATCTCTGGGTGGCATAGGTGAAATATTGTTCCTCAACTGATGCTCCAGTTTCCTTTGTCTGCAAAGTGGGAAGGTAAAAACCCTGGTCCTAGCCACCATCATCAGTGGACACACTACCATCTATCTCAATGTCATCTTCAAAGATTTTACAAAATACAAAATTTGAGGGAGAAGTCTAATCATCCAATTCTACCTGTTCTACATCATTTATGTCCAATAAATCAACAGACGATAATAAATGACCTTTTCCTTGCTGTGATAACAGAATAATCGACTCTAATGTGCTGAACCATGGCCCATGTGCGATTGGTTGCCTATATCACAAGCACATCGTTACATTAGGTCCTGCTCCTCATATTGAGGAGCCTTGGCTTATGAATCCTATTGGTCCTCTCCCTTCCTCTTAAGTCGCAAGGAGATAGATGGGATAGATCCCCAACCTCATCCAGAAAAGGATCACCCTGCCTCTCTATTGTTATGCATAATTGATCTATCATCAGATCCAAGTTATTGTGATAGAACTTCATAGTCCAAACCAAATGGGTTCTGACACTAGTTCCTCTGTTTCTTTGTCTAGCTCATGGCAGCATAGCCTTAGTCACATGTTATAATGAATATACATCATCTTCTTCAAGCATCTGTATGAAAGTTGATTGTTACCTTTTGGTATGTAACAACACAAATGTGGATCAATTATGTTTGTAATTACTAAACAAAGTGGTCTCTAATATGACCCTCGATGCACTTTATTTGAGTGTGATATGAATCCTCTAAATTATAACCACCACTCAACTTCACAACTCTCTGCACCAGGGAGTACATTCTTAATCTCCTATTTGGCAATGTGTATTAAGTGATATATATGGTCCATGTTTAAACTTTTTTCTATCTAATCCTGGTGCTTAACTACATGTGGCTACACACCGATAACAATTTTATCTACTGCATTCAGATGATTAAATGTACTTCTCAATGATTTTCCCATCCAACAAGAATAACAGGAGCTAACCCAATCACTAAAGTGAACATCACCTTGAGTCCAACCTTTCTTTATTGGATGGGCGTCAAAGAGATGAAGTGGACAATAATAAGAGTGATACAAGTTCACCTAATGATATAATCTCTGTATCACCGTGTTCACCTAACGATAACTGTAAATAAAATGGGCAATGCTCTCTGTCTTTGCCACTTTTATCTTCACCTTTGGCTTATCACTAACATCCATCATAATAATGGATTTTAAAAGATGTCTTTGTTGTCCATCAAATGTTCATTATTTTTCTTGGAGTTAACATCATTATAGGTGACACTTGTACAACGAACTTATGTCTAATCTCATTTACCATAGTCTCCATCAGACCATGAACGTATTGTGGATCCATCAGACCACGAATGTAACACAGATCGTGAATCTGATTTGATTCATCAACTAACTTGTGGAAGACTTTGTCAACACACCTGGAAATTTATTGATACTCATCCTAGTAGGGTTGGACCAGCTATCAAACATGAGAATCTAGTCCAAATCCATGCGAATCTAGATCGTTACCATGCAGTTCTAGCCGACTTCTCCAGCTTGGAATGAGGTAGTTTTTAATTTTATACAAAATTTGCATAAATCCATTGTGGAATGAAGTAGATCTACAAAAGAAATTAAAATAGTGGAAATGCATAGATCTAGAAGCCTTTTACATTCTTAAGCATGTAACCATAAAGTTAAGATTAAAATATCTCAAAAAAGGTTCAATTAATGAAAATAACAGAAAAAAGTTTAACTTTGGTTTCATAATTATCTTGACTTTTCGAAAAATGATCCTCCTTTCTCGAGTTTGATCCATGATTTGCTAAGATTTAATAAAGATTGGGAGTTATAGAAATGAATTTAGAAGCAATTAAGATTATTAAGTGAAAGAGAGGAAATGGTGTTAGTTCAGATGGGAGAGGGATCAAATGGCTGGATCAGTAAGGAAATTGGATGATAAATTTAGTGCCTAATACATCCGTATATACTGGACAAATTTTGACCAGACTGCCTGACATGGTATGTGTACCGGATACACCTTATATTGAATAGAAGTAGACAAATTATCAAGTCCGTATATCAGTCAAGCATCAAACTAGTATACACTGGTCCATACTGACTGCTGTGGTTGATATTTTGAACCATGGCTCCCTGCTTGTCAGCTACACATATTGCTTGCAATTCAAAAAGGGAAAGAGAGCAAAAAAAATGCAAACAAGTGAGAAAGATGTACCAACAAAAATTAGATTGGAGGTGCCAGATCATTTCATATTATAAAGGATGGGATCTTCATTCATTAAGGCCATGACCTCATGCATGCCTGGAGATTCACATGTGACCTCAAAAAGAGCTGTTGGGAGCCACAGAGATTCTATGGCTAATGTAGATGCATTCAAAGCATATTTAACTGATGGAGAACAGACAATAGATGTACCAGCTGATTGAAACATAGTGCACATAGTTGAGTGCTAATTTGGAACAGTGAAAGAAAATGATGATGTGATAGCACCCTATAAAATCTTTTACATGTAAGAACCATTATTTTCAAGTAGCATATATATTCCTAAATAATCAAAAAATTTATTTATGTTCTTTTCAATTAAAAAACAGTTTTAGATACATTTTTTCCATTTTAATTTTTTTGAAATTTTCATTTTATTTAAAATCAGAATCCTTATTTACTCCTTTCCAAGAAGTGATCCATTTAGGTGATAATGAATACTCTCAGTTCTTATCTGAAACCATTGTACAAAAAGTATAGCATACAATGATCGAGAATATCTACAATCTATTTTGCATAAAATCTTAGGCAAATAGGTTCCAAGTAGACCTCTCTTAATAGATAACTGAGCCTTGGTAAGCTATTAAAGTAGATGTTGTTCAGTCTCTACAATAAATACTATACATAAAATAAAATACCAAGTACCAGGCTCCTAGTGGACCTGGCTTAACCCAAACTCAAAACTTCAAAATTTTGCTAAAACTAGATGTTTCAGCTCACACTGGCTTTGGTTTTGTGCTGCCAGCATAGCATTATAATGTTGCCAGCTGTGAAAAAAGACAAAGAAAGAAAAAGCAAGTGAAGATCTATGCAGCATAAAATGAAAAATGTACATCAAAATTGGAATATAGTTGTTCCCAATGTCTCTCCTACCTCCAGCCTCCTCATTGGCAATGCGAAGCATTGGCATAAAGCGGAAGTAAGGTAAGAAGTACAACACAATGATGATTGAAAAGGAGATCTGATGAGGAAGCTAAGGAAAAAACAGACTGACTGATTGAAAAAATAAACCAGATGGTCAATTTCTAAGGTATTAAAATAAACTTTTTTTTAATTTCAGTTTTGTTAGCCCAAATTTTGGTTATCAGTACCTTGTCAACTCAAAAAGTTTGGCATGATACAGAATGTAACATATCAAGACCACAATCCTTTAATTTTTGAGTGAAGCTTGGTTTGTCATTAAAGTGGGTGCTGGTACTCTCACTGTCACTGTGAAAATGACAAACAAGGAAAGAAAATATCAATAATTGATCTGGCATTATGGTCAGGTATGATATGGCAGCCTGCACTGTATAATCAATACAAGATCATAAACTTTTTTAGAACTATCACCATCTCCATTGTGATAGTGATCTTGTATCCTTAGACAATCTGGTACTATCAGAAGCTAAGTAACTTTTCAAACACACTTTTATCAGAACACTTGATTTTCACCCAGTACATGTCCCCAGTGAGCACCTGATTTTCACCCAAGTGCATATTGCATAGCGCTTTTAATATTTCAGCCAGCTAGACACAAGTGTTTTAGTTAAGGATTTATATCTAAGCATGACATATTGAATGGTATCTCATCATTCTATGTTTGTAAAAATGTCAACCAGTAAAAGAATAGACATGTTAATTTGTGAAGTGCTGAAACATAGCTTTAAGTGTCTAAACAAACGTTTACTCTCAACTATAACTGCAAGTGTGTGGTGTTAGATACTAAAATTAAATAATGAAACTGCAAGAAGGTTTCTAAATTCATGTACATGAATAACAATAATTCTGAATCAAAAGTGAAGTTCAAAATAATGACAAGTTTAGTCTAGTAAAAGACACAAGAAATATATCTGTCAGAAATATCTTACAAGAATATCTTGGCCAATCCACGAGTGTGGTGAATGTCGATTTATAGCCCATGAAATGGCAAAAGCAAAGCAAAATGGTAGAAGGACGATAGAAAGAATTGTAACCTCCCCAAAAATGGGAATGTTTATCCTCATCTGCCTACAGCCTTTGAAAACTCTGGATAATAGAGTTGAATAGGAAATTAACAAAAAAGTAAAGAAAAATTTACCACTACAGCAAGTACATTAAAAAATTGTGTGCAACAAACTATAACTCAAGTTCATTCAAACATACCTTAGAATAATTGATAACAGACAGGCATGCAATCCCTGATATACAGAAACTTTGAAAGATACATCAGAAAAACGTGAAACAGCTAATAAAATCCAAGTAACCTAACTGCTATTGACAAAATAATTCTTACAGGAACAAGGTTCTGGCATATCCTATACCTGTGAACCAGCGATGCAGAATAACACGATCAGCAGCAAGACAAACGAATAAGACATAAAGAAGAAGAGCAGCACCAGGAAGGCTGATGCTACTATAACAAAAGATATAGCTCCCACTGCTTTGATTTCAACGGTTTCCTTCTCAGAATCTTCTTCATTCATCTCGGCACTAGGTTGATCCTGTGCATTAGAGTAGAGCAATATATTAACTACTCTGCTTTTACGAGGACTATATATTGACAAAAGAAAGAGATAAAATTATATGTAATTTGGATTTAACATATTTCCATTACATACAGCAACAATATAGCCATAATGTCCTAGCTATTTTGGGTCCCACCATTGAGTTTTATATAAAATAATATCATAGTTAAATCAAAAGGGTCTTCAAATTTTTGTTATATCTTTCTCTAGCTTTAGTAATCCAAAAAATATCCTTTCTCATCCTTAGTGTATAGCTTATTATAAAAATTATCAGAAGCATTATATCTTTGTTATATTTATAATTTTTACCTCTTTTTTGTTGCTTTATATTTTTAAAAATTCTCCTCATTTTTACAAATTTTCCAATACTTATAACATAATCTTTTAATTTTGCATTCAAGAATTCCTCGCACCTCCAACCACTCTCTCTTAAAGTAACACCAATATTATTAGATTCATCATGAATCTCCTCTATCATGTTAGTGGCCATAAAAAGTTTGTGCAGCAAATATATTATTCTCATCCAATTTTCAAACCTCCTCTTTTTATTATTCTATTTTTTAAGAAACTTAAATCAAGGTTCTCAATTTTGATCTGTACCAGTGTATCGAGCCTTGCTTGGTACAGTAGGGGTCGGTACGGTACATATCAAGGCATACCAATAGTATGCCTGGGCGTACTAGCGGTATGCTCAAGAAGTGCTGAAAAACCTCCAAAAATGTCCGGAGGTAACGATCCAAAAATACTGAGGCGAATCGATAGGTACACGTCAGTAACGGTCGAAATCCGGGGTGTACCAATTGGTACACCTCGGTAACGATTGAAATTTGAACATACCGACCGATACGCCTCAATAACGATCGGATTTCGATTGTTACCATGCAATACAAACCTTGTATCACCCGATACGGGGTCAAAAACTAGTACCAACTAGTAGAGGGCGATCCGCGTACCGATATCCTCTCAGACCGACACGTACCCCTCGTACCGGGCGGTACACATCAAAATTGAGAACCCTGACTTACATTGTTATCTTTGAAATTTCACCATCTACTTCTAATGAAATTTTTTACCATTCTTTTTCTATTTCATTTTCTAAAACATATATCTACTGCCATCAATCTATGTTAATCTATCAATCTTTGATAGGTATAACCATATCTACCTTTCCAATGAGGAAAAAAATCAATCCAAAATCCTCATGCCTTCTTTCAAATTCAACATGTTCTCTTGATCTCTTCCCATATGACCGTTCTATACCCTCCAATTATAATATTTTCAATTGAATATATTTATTGAATAATTTTATCTAACGTTCCCAAAATTCCAGTTTGGTTTGAGGCTTTGAGCATCTATTCCAGTCCGAGGGGCATAAGCATAATCAAGTTCATCAATTTAAATCTGAAAAATGATGATAACTATTATGGGACTCAGGTTCACCTATAGGGTTTCTTGCTTCTCATCCAGTCTCTACCTCATACCTATCCAACACTTCTCTCCTCTCTTCTCATCCTCCCTGCAGGTACCTCAACAAGATGTCAAAGGAGCATCCATCAACTTCTCCATCAGTAGCCACCTAGGTATGGAGAACATTTTATTCCCTTATTCTTCTTCCTTTTCACTATCTTTTTCTTTTACTTCTTTTTTATTGTCTTTCTGGCACATCTATTTCATCCACCAGCTAGCACAAGGCATGCCGCCCTTAGAAAAATATTTGAGAAAATCTCCATGACTGGCCTTGGCTGCCCCAAAGACATCCCATGACCAATTTATGGTCATCATGAGTCACAACCACACATCTGAGCAACAATATCCACCAGTCAAACATGAAAATTAGCCAAATCCACTCTAAAATCACTTCAAACTACATTCAGTCAACACTTCCTCCTCAACCCACCAAAAGACCCTAACCAAAAAAAAAAAGAAAAAGAAAACCTTACAATCTTATCAGGCTTGTAGAGTCAAATCATAATGATAGCATCGTAATTAGCCTCATCTAACCTAATAATTGCCTCCTCATGCATATCCAGAAGTAAATCACATGCCAATCTAGCTCCTTGTAGCACCATACATGTGCATGGTGCAATATAAGTACTATTGTGCACATCATGTTGTGAGACTAAACAAATTGTAGACCAGTCCTTAGGATGTGTTTCATACATATGGACAACTATGAAGAACAGAAAGCAGGTCCTTGTAATGTGTTCCATACATGTGCACAACTAAGTGAAATGGACTTCTATATTTTGCTTATAGATCTTGGGGAAGCAAGTAATCCTTGTGCATAATTCATATATTTCTTTAGTTTCCATGTATTGATTATGTTAATAACATATATCATGAATGTAGGCCAGATTCTCAGATTTTTTTCATGCAATTTAAGAATCCTTTCATGTTATACATCCAGCATTATATAAGGCATTTCGTGCGTGCACCTCAAATGACTAGTGTAAAGCTCAAACAGTAGTTAGTGCAGTTATGCATATGCAAACTTGCACACAGTTATAGACACATATGTACATGAAACATATGATAAATGACAATGATAGGGTATATATAACCTCAAGTCATTAGATAAATGACAATGAGAACAAAAATATGTTGAGTAAATTTCTTGCAAGTTATTATGTCTGACCAGAAACCATGAATGGTAGGGTAGTAAACTAAACTAGGTAATTCCAAGCCAAGCTATAATAAATAGATCATCAAAGATAATAATATCAAGTACAAACAGATTCGTGAACAACAGTCATCAATGCACTTGCACCTTGTAACTTCACACTCCTGATTTGACAAAATCTAGCCAAAAACTTTTAGTTCATAAAAAAACTTGTTTATAATATACAAATGGTCACAACTTATGTCCTTTCAAAAGCATAAAATTACTAAGAAAGCACTGGTGATAGTCCTTTTAGACAAAATTGTTTGCTTTAATAAGGAAACTAAAAATAACATGGCATTAGTTAAAATTTAAAGGTTGCAACTAAAAACCTTCCGTCTCAATTGATTATAGTGCTCATCAACCTGATCATGTGCACTGAAGTCATCCCAAAGCGAGGCACTGATAATGGATCCAACAGACATTAATGCCAAAAAGACCACTGAGATGTCTATAATGGGCCGAGTAGGTGCATATAGTAGGACATCCACTGTAATGTTAAAAATTACCTTTAATAAGAGAATCTCAAATAAAATACTAAAGAAGTATCGATACACAAAATTATATTAAATTGTTTGCAATTTTTATGGCAAGATATGTTCCTTAATATTACAATATAAGTATCTGAAGAGAAGGCACTTAAAAAACATAAGGCATGTTCTTATATTAAAGGCAATAAATATAAATTATTTACATGGGCATGAAAAGCACAAATTATGTTATTAAGATGACCTAATAAGTAGTTTTAGTTACTGTAGATATGGATTGATGATTCTTTAATTTGGTTGGTGGTAAACTCGTAGAGATAAATAGAACAGTCAATCTCAGACACTGAGGAAAAGTTATGAGTTAGCAATTAATGCAACATGTTCTTTTTTACATGTTTCAGTTATAAAAATCCAGATTTGTTTTTAGTTCAATATGAATCCATATTCATATTAGGGCCTTATCCAGATAGTGCAGATGAGAATCTCTATTCGAGGAAAAAAAATTAAAATTTAAACTATAAAACTGGAACACTAAGGAAAAATATTAATGAGACTAAAAGCCTATATACATTGGAAACTCACCCTTGCCTCCACTAGACAAGGATGCCGTAATATTTTCCCCTGCTGACTTTGGTATCATAACAACAGGAATAGTAATATTTAGTAGAGTTTCATTTTTGCTGCACACCATTTCAGTAAGATCTGAGTTATAGCAGATAAAATGTTAGCAAACACAAAAAATGGATAGTTTCTATAATAATTTCTTATCAGACATGTACTTGAAAATGGGGAAAACAAAGCAATCAAATTTACCTTCATCATCATTTATCACTAACAAACCTGCAGCACCACTAGACTCTGCAATTCTTGCCTTGGTGGCATAGGTACAATCCCCACGCTTGACAACAACAATGGAATCTGACAACTGCAACAAAAAAACCAAAATTTCCTCAACAAAATTGATGTACAAGAAAGAGAAGGAATATATATAAAAGCAAGGACATAACAAACATCTGTGTCTGCATGGCAACACAGATAAAGGGAGAAAAGTATGGCAAAAACAAACTTGATTTAAAATCCGTCTTCCACCATGCCATGCGGTTCGCCCACATTAAAGATTGCAAGGGTGATTCGCCCCTGTTATACTGATACAGCAGTTGAACAAACAAACACACTCACAAAATATAGTTGTACACATGCATATTGAAAAACAAATACATCTCCACTTAAAATGTCAACGAGGGGGTTTCAGATGCTTTAGGCCTCTAACCAAGGAGATGTTCCACATGTTATAAATCCATCATGTTACAAGGACCAAGACATGTACTGCAGCATTAATTATGCCATGCCTTGTTATCCATGTCTACTTACTCCTATTGCACATCAACTGCCTGATCTGGAACTAGTATTTTTCTATTTCACCACTCTCCATTATCAACAAATTTCCCTCTGAATTTCAAGGATTGGTAAGGGCTCCATGAAAATAAGAGTTGAGTTTTTTTCTGTTTTCCCCTTCCTTTTCCCTTTTCTACAACTTTTTATCTTTGTGTACTGATGCCGATGTACCTTAGCAATGCACCATACTTTGTCATAGAACCAATTCCAACATAATACTTGTGATCCATACTGGCATCAGCTAAGGTCAATCCTGTTTGGCCAATATTTAGGCCTTATTGCTAGAAATAAACGAGAATCAGCTAAAGTTAATTAAATTTGACTGGAATCAGGTGATTTTTTCCTATTCTAGACAATTTGTCAACTGTAACAGAAGAAAGAGATGAAAGGGTGCATTTGCCATTCACCATAGCCTTTGCATTTGTTTCGAGATGTTCATCAACCAATGTTGCAGTAAACAATGAAAAACTTGGCAGAGGAAGAGGAAAGAGAAATAGAGATTAGTTCTTACCTTTAAAAAGAATTCAGATGTCATTATAAAATAGGAAGATGTCATGGGCTCCGAGATTAATCTTGGTTCCTAATAAACGTGTCCATGCAAAATCTTAACTTTTGTTGCATTCCCTGACACACCTTGGTTCCTAATAAATGGCATCAGATTAATCTTGGTTCCTAATAATATTATAATATAACATTTTCGCTAACACACCTGGCTAATACTTCCTCTAAGCAATGTGGGACTGATACACCTTAGTTTTCTTCTGACCAACCACTCCCTTGCTAGCATGGATGATCAGGGAGGCTATAGTACTAAGAAGGAGCAATATCTCTCCATCTGAGGTTGGAGGTTTTACTTTGGTCCGTTGACATGGTCAGTATCGCTGTGCTCAACCATGTCATCTACATGCACCATTTTGATAGGGTTATCCTTGTTGCCAATCATCATCGACTCATGACCTTTGTTGGACTTCTCGGGGCTTCAAACTTGCTATTGCCCCTTTTGGGTTCTCCTCCTCTTTCATTATGTTGGAGGAAGACTTTGGTTCTTTGCATATCAAAGTAAGAGCCACGAGCTTTTGATAAATATTCACTATCCTCTTTGCTTGGCTGGCGTCTGTCAAGTCTTTCGTTGAACCAATTTGATCTCGGGTGGTGAGGAACTTCCTTCTACCCTTCTGGAGTTGATACTTCTAGGGTCGACGAAAGGAAACAACATCTCGATCCCATAAATAGGGACTCTCAAGGATGATTCGGCATATATCAATTGGAACCATCTCACACGTCACCTCGTCGAAGAATTTCTTAGTGATGGCAAAATATATCTTGCATTACTGGTCGATCTTCGTCTTCACATCATCATGAAGCCATCCAAGATGATATGGGCACAGATACAATGTCATCTCTAGGTTGAGCCTCTTGACCAAGCTCGCTGAGATGAGGTTCTTTTGGCACCCGATGCCGAAGATCACGCCAATAACTTTTTGCTTCAGTTGGATCTTTATGGTAAAGAGCTCTTCTCAAACCTTTAGATCGGAAGTTGGATTTGAGTCTATAACCTTCGATCTAGCCATTAGCGATAGACTTAGATCCAGGTATGAAATTGGAGAAAGTTTGATTGTCATTGCTTGTGGCCGTGATTTGTCGACTTTGATCGTTCTTCAACCACTTCTTTGGGAAAAGTTATGGGTGAAATCTTACAACACTTTTCCCTAGAGTGACCTATAATTTTACAATGATCGCAGAAGAAATCACTTCATTTTAAGGAAGAAGTCTTTACCATCCTCGAAATTCTCTTAGGCCAGTGGCTCCCTTTGGCCTTCTCCGCGGGCTTCATGCTGTGAGTGTGATTCTTTCTCTATATTGCCATCACTATATTACTAGAAGTCGAAATATGATATACTCTAAAGAGGATCAGTTCTATATGAATCTATTCATGGAGGCCAGTGGTGTATTTCATCATCGTTGAGTGGTTGTAGAAAGAAATTCTAATTACCACCGCTTTGTCACGAACGGTCGTCGCGCACCCGCAACAACTTCGTTCAACGAACCGTTCGTCGCTCACACCCACATGTACAGCTGCTTGACAGCATGTTTTCCCATGGTTTTGGGTCATTTTGCTTGTAAATATGTAACTTCGAACAAGCTGCAGCGTTGCAAAGCGATCGCTCACCGAACCGAGCAAAACAGCCCCAAAACAGCCCAAAACGGCTCCGTTTTCGCGTGCCGCGGGAGGTGAGCGGAGTGCTGCCTCCGCTCACCAAAACGTCAGCCATCTCAACACCTA